TGTACATGCGGATATTTTACCGAGAAAATAAAGAAACTATTTACAATAATATAAAAAATAAAATTTAATTCGTTACATATGCCCTCCCTTGGGATTGAGCTTCTGCGAAATCCGATACTAAGATTTTGGGGTAATTTCATCTAGGGACCTCAAGTAGCTCGTGATACTTTTAGTAGGGCAGTAGGATGGTCCAACGAATATCTCCTCCGGAATCGAAGATAACGGCAAGAGGCCAGTCAATTAGTAAGTATCGGAGCCATTGGTCAATTATATCGGGACTTCCATTTCCGACACCTTTACTCATACGATTCTCGATTCTTACCATTGATTCTTCAAATCGATCTCCTAAACGTATCCTATTATTTTCAATTTTATTTTTAAGTTTCACCGATTTTAAACCCCATTCATACGCCATCCATTCATCCTTAATCATGCCTATGCCAATTCGGAAGCAAGGTCCAAGGTCGTATTGTCCAGCTAGGTTATCGCCTTCAGAGTCCTCGTGCAAGTCAGGCGGCGTTGCTTCTCCCTCTTTCTTACTGGGGTAGGTGAACCCGTGATTTTCAATAAATTCTTTACTTTTCTTTCTTCATTTTCTAATATCTCGATTCGATTTCTAGCGCCTTATCTAATTCGGCAAGTAGTTTGTCGAAACTTTCACAGGGAAGGTATGGGTCACTTTCTTTATTCAATTCTTTTTCTTTTTCTTTATGATTATCATTTTTTAGTATTTCCTTATCACTAACAAGTTCTATTATTTTTTTATTCATCTCTTCAAAAATCATCTTCTTATCATCCATTTGCATATCGTCATTACTATCAGACTCGCGAATCTTGGAAATCTCAAGGTTAGTACTTTTATTCAATTCGTCATTTTTAATATCCTTCGAATACTCCTCATTAACACTTCTTATTCCACTCCTACATCCATCTTTATATACATTGTCACTTATTTCGACGGGGTCATCACTCTCGGCGGATTTTTGATAACAAACGGACGACCTACGATTTTTACTGGCATTCTTCATATCTGCTGGTTTTTGATAACCGACGGCTTTATATTCGTTCTTTTCATCTCCTATTTTGTTTCGATAATAATAACCAGGTTTGTTTATTCCATCAGCATGACCAGGGTTATTCTCTTTCTTTTCAATTTTTGGCGGACAGTTATTTTTGGACTTGGGCAACCAGGTATCCAAGTCTTCAAGATAGCCATCGATTAAATCATTCAAATCTACTTCTGGGCCAACTTTGGGAACTTCGTATGATTTAAGTGTTGGGATTGCGTCTGGTGGGCTCGGCATGGTAGGGCGAATTTTTTTAGAAGGCATCTCGGTACGAGAAGATAAGTATACTGTTTCTTTTGCTTCTCTCTTGTTTTCGTTAATTAAATCTTTTATTACTTTTATCGAAAACTCCAGGACCTCAGGGATTTGTTTATCGTCTACGTCACCAGAGAAGTTTTCGTATATGATACTTAGACACGTTGGCTGGGGGTAAGTTTTGTAAAAAGCTTAGTGCACCTTTCGTCTAGGGGCTTTACGTCTGGGCACTCAAGGATGGGGTGGCTTCTTCCTCGGCATTGTGGGTACAAAGTTTTCTTTAGAAAAATTTTTCCTACGGGTTTTATGGTGGTGGGTTATGATTATCTCTTCTTGAAAGTCGTTGGGTTCTCTATTATATCGTTAGGGGTTGGGAGACACTGTACTATAGGCATATGGGGCACGGGTGATTTGTATTTGCTGGATGGGAGCCTTGGTCTGTGCAACCAGGTTTTCGATAGATGCAGATTGGTCAGGCTGGTTAAACAGATTATATTGGAAGGTCGAGTTAAAAGGTTGAGCCATATTTTTGTTCTCGGCTCATAAATGGATTTTTTTTTAATTGTTTTTCTTTAATTTATTCAATGGGCTGATACTATTTTACTAATTTTTAGGGAGGTTACTTATTCATTCCACACAACTGGCACCAATTGTAACCGTTGTTGGGAGAGCTTAATAGAATTATATGGAATGAAGGCCAATTTAACCCAACGGTGTACGGAGAGATAATGATAAATTTAGGGACACGAAGAGAGTTGTTTATATTGTCGGAGGTCTATTAGACAATATGGCACTATGATACGAAGGATTTAATATTACGGGAGATGATAATGGGGCGATGCAACTACAGGTGATGCTGTTAGGGATATCTCAACCAGGATGGTGAGGTAAAACTGAACGATGATCAAGTGATGTCGGTAATAACTTTAAGTCCACGTGAGTGATTAGCAAGGTCGAATAACTAATTTTAAGTATCATTCTATACCACAATTCTCGAAATCACTAATGTGAATAGCAATATCTGATTCCACAACCATTCTAAAATCCGAGTCTTAATAAGCCAAATCGAAGTTACAAGTCAATTCAGTCCATCGAATTGAGTCTTAAAAGGGTTTATTAAAGTTATAAGTCGAATTCAAAGACAAAGTCTCGAAGGAAAATTCAGATAAGTATATACTTTATTATTTTGTGGTAATTAAAAGTGGACATGTATTACTAACTATTTATCACTAACTACTGTAATTGACTTCCTGTAGCAATTTCCAATATTATTTAATCCATAAGAATCACCCATCTCTGCAGTTTTTTTAAAATATTCGAATGCCTTCTTTTCGACTCCGATTCCATTTCCATAGTAATATCCAACAATATTTTTTTACATTAAGATTAGTACTTGCAATTAAAATTATGGTTTGGAAAGGATTTTTAGAATATAGAATATTTTATTTAGAGCACTTACACCAATTAATTAACCAGTTTTTAAGATAATATATATATAAATATAAAATACTATAGGTAAAATCTATAATAAATATATAATTTAATAGATGATTCGCTAGTCATCTGGAGAGCTATATGACGCAGGTTACTCAAGATTTATATATAAATTATATATAAAATCTTTAAATAGTAAATGTGGAGAGATTTCTTCTAAAACTTTTTTTCTTACTAAGTAAATCACTCTTAGCTCATCAAGACGCATCTAATGATGGTAAAAACGCTAAAATCAGCCTGGTGGTTCTTGAGAAATCTTTAAAAAACGTTTCGCCGACATATAAAATTTCTTTAAAAAAAATCGTTTTTTTTTAAAGAAATTTTATATGTCGACGAAACGTTTTTTAAAGATTTCTCAAGAACCACTAGGCCGATTTTAGCGTTCTTACCACCATTAGATGCGTTTTGATAAGCTCTACAACTTTTGTTAGAAGCCTAAGAGTGATTTACTTATTAAGAAAAAATGTTTTAGAAGAAATCTTTCCACATTTGGCTCAATAGTAAAATTTACTTATAAAATTTGTAGATCCTCTCCAGATGATAGATGGATTGTCTATTAATTATAAATTATTTATAATTTGCTTATTAAAAAATTATTTAAAATACAATATTATAATGGTTTGAGGCAAAGACATAGGTATACCCTAGGCATACTGAAAGGCCAGACATACTTAATTATGCAACATACAAGATCCAAAATAAATAGCTAAAAGCCATTAATTCTATCAGCATTTATTATACAGTATATGTGCATATATATATATCAAATATATGTAATGTTTATTATAAATTTTATTAATAATAAATAAGTTAATATTAATTTTACAAATTTTTTATAAAATTAGAATCTAATAGCTCCAGTTCTATAACAAATGATGTATTTATCAAACATAAACCTATTAAAAATGAATCAGATCTTGTGAATTTAGTGGTGACTAAAGATATTAATTGTATGATTGAAAATGAAATTTAATCAATGTTCAAATGTATGTATAAAATATTATTGCATTCTTTGTTTTATGAATTTTCTACTCACTATTGTGTCCAGCTAACCTCCCACCGCACCAAAAAAATTGAAAAATGAAAATAAAAGAGAGTAATACAATATTACACGTCATTGGACTTTCTGAAAAAAAAAGGGAAAGAAAAGAAAGAAGGCATTCGAACTTTTTAAAAAATCTGCAGAGATGGGTAATGGTTATGGAATA